AGTCCAGGAAGATGGCGTACATCATTGGCGCACCGTGAAAGAAGGCTTAGTTGACGTAATTCACGAAGTGAGTAGTTGTTTGGTTTATCAGCATCATTCGCAGCAACAGCGGCGCATCAGCCATTGGAACTGATGCTTCGCTGCCACAAAATCACAACAATCTGCGTAGCAAAGAATAACAATGGGGAGTGAAGGGGGACTCACAGGAACACCTTAATGTCCTAAGCAAACAAACAGGTGCAAGGGGTCTACACCTAGTGTCAACAACAAACCGTCGCAAACCATTGGGTATCGAGTAAAGGAAAGGCGGCATCAGCGAGACAGCTTACTTGCGGCTTTCACTGCACCGCCTCATTAGTAGTCATTAATCAGCAGATAATTCAGCGCCAAACACCCTTTAAACAGGCAGTCCGACTACGAGACGGTAGCAGACACGCCACTTATATCGAATGGGGGCCAGGTCCTGTAAAGTTTCAAGTCAAGCGCGAGGCGATTCACGCGGACTCTAGCCTGGAATGCGAGTCGGACCAACGGCACCTAGTTTGGTTGTCAGTGACTTTAATTTCCGCTACCAAGTCAACTTTTGTCCGCCTCGAGCCTTGTGTCACCCTACATCTGGCAGATAAAAAACAAGGCTCTCTGCGGTAAGCGGTGACAGGGCATACGTAGTACGTACCCAAGCCCAAGCAAATTATGCAGCGCTTTCTGTTGTGCTAAAGAAATAACTTGAGTAACATTGTCTAGCACTCGTGTACGCACATCATGCAAAGTACATATAAAGTACGGAACGACATAAGGTGACCACTCCAGATCGTGCTTCGTTTCCTTCCATTTGTTACGTGACATTTTGGCGAATGTCGCCGGATCAACACTTTTTCTTCTCGGTTTGACGAGCTCCATCTAATGAAAGCATTTTCTCTGAAATACGTCAGATATTGTATCTACGGGGTTTATAAACTTGAACAATTTGTCGCCCTTATTCACTCGTGGAATTTAGCACAGATACAATCGCCCACCAAGGATGTTTACCTCTTTCGATAGAAGAGTCTCTCAGATTTCGGTCAAGATTTCACGCGTCTCATTATCACCGTACGTCACAGCTACAGAGCAAACGACTACACTTGGTGACACCCTCATAGGGAAGAAACCATCAGCATTCTTTGCTCCTGACTACGGCCGGTGCAAGCAACCGATATACGCAGCACGATAACTATCTACACCAGACGCCCTACCCACTATCGTATGACGCACGGGCGCACTACACAAAGCAGGATGAGTCAAGCATCTGACAATGATCTAACGATTGGCGATCGAGCGCTAGCCGACTGCGGGGCGATGCGTGCCCACAAAACAGGCAACGGCCATTAGACCATCATGACCAAAACACCGGTAACCTGAAACGAAGTATTTTGTGGTGATCAAACATACTGACGTACCAAAATTAGGGTTGACATGTTCCCGTTGCAATATCCGTTACCAACCAAATTGCATCAGTCTGTCGAACCGGGTTCATTTTGACCCTCTCCGAAATGTGCAACGGCTTCCCCTGTAAAATGTGTGCTAGCATTAGCACAGAAGTATGACAGGCAATTTCACACATGGCGCTAAAAAGGTAGCTTGTTAAAAAATCAAAAGCACGTGTTGTTCATTGATGTGCACATGCGCATGTGTGCCTACATGCACGCACTGTCAGTGAGACTCATTGGTCATGGGACATTAGTCAATGGGACACCCTGGGTGTAAGCACAGGACTAGATGTATGCGTCTATGGGGGACAAGGGGAATGCATTCAGGCGCGCTCCCGAGCAGGTTAACACATTTGTGTTAACGGAAGGCAGACAAGAATGAGGGTGTTAGTGCTAGAGGTCACCAATAGCGTGTCTGACTGGAGCTGGTAAACCTAGAATGACGTGTTTGAGCGTCCTACCTTTGAACCCTTTTAACAGATACTTTGGCGAAGAGCTACCATTGGTTCGCGTTCTGATACGGCCGATAGCCTACGTTTATGTGCCAAATTTTTAGTGCTTGTACGAACAGTCCGTAACGTAGCTGGTACACAATATGTGATCGGTCCAAGCGGCACAGTACCAGTGGCATCTTTAGGCTCCAGATTAGTACTGCTTCTGGTCAAAACAATATACCGCATGATAATAATAGGTATGGGCATATTTCTCAAGTGAAAATCTGTGGCGGTATTTGACATAGAACATATACGCACAGGTGACGTCCTGATATTGCAAGAACAATATCAATATCTTCTCATATTTGTCTACATTCCTGGCAGGTTATTTGATCCATAGGTTTGTCTTTTGCGATGGTAGAAAGCAAATTTGCAGTTTGAGTATGTTGTGTACGTTGAGGGCTAATTACATTGCGTGAAGTGGTGGTATTATACCCAACAGAGGTTATCTGGGCTTTCATTGAATGGATGTTCAAGTGATCGTCCCCACGAAAAGCGACCTAATGGTGTCCACGTCTAGGTAGCTTCCCAACTTAGTGCGTAAAGATTGCAGTCTCACACGACCTGATGGGGAATGGCAGCCGATTCCACAGAAGTATATATGGTGAGACGAAAGTTAGACCGCCGATTTGTCCTGCATCGTTGTATAACCAAGATAAGGTATTTGTTACCTAGGTATCGCATTTAATTGTGCTTCAATGTTAAGGTGTATCGGTTGCAATGGTTATTGCCATGAATCAGAATGTACAGCAGTCTCAAGTTATCTTTTAGTGTTCACAGTCAAAGCGGGTCGAGATGGAGTTGGTGGCATCGCTCCCGGGAATTTATGGTAGAATTTTCTCCCAATACTTGCATAGTAAATGACTGTTGAAGGATTTCTATCGATATTCTGTCTGATTTTCTCATATTGTCACAGATTATGTTGCGATACTCCAGGATGGGACGATGAAGAATTTTAAATAGTTCGACTATAGCTGTGATTGTATACATGTTATGAGAGATGTGAGCGAAGGATTGTCTGGCTCATGCTATATGGTACTCAATCTGTGCTAAGAACATAAAGTTACAAGAATATCTGATTCCAAGGTTATAGTAGACCGTTGCACATAGAATCAGTTCGATGTTACGTGTGACAGATACTCTGGGTGTCAAGCGACCGCAACATATGATACTTGACTGTTGTGCTTAGAACGTCATCGTCCACTTGTCGCACCAAGTCTCAAGCGAAAGAATGTCTTCTTGAATGAGTGGTAGTACATGCGTAAGCTCAACTTGTCGGTACATGTAGACAATTTTTGTCATCGGCAAATAAAAACGGCACGCCATTTTTGTTAACCAAACTGATATCGTTGATACAAAGAAGGGAAATTAATGTACCGAGCAAACATCCTTGTTTTACCCCGCTGGTAATTGGACGCGGGAAAGAGCAATGGTCGCCTAAGGTGACCATCTCAGCGTGACCGTTCATGTATGATGATAGCCAACCCATTAATGTGTCCCGGACTTCAAAAAACTATCTGAATCGGTAACCGTTTGTGAGGTACCCGATCGAGTGTCTTCTACATGTCTAAGCATATAACTAATATCGCATATTTCGAGTCAATGGAGTCTGGTATTTAGCTAAGGTAATGCAGCCACCAGAATGTGTACGATCGCTAGTCAAGGAAACCATGTTAGGACACATCTATCTGCTCCAGTGAGTTTATGAAATTAATCAATTAATCATTAATTAATCTTTACCAATTTCTCGAATAATTCGAATATTATATGAGTGTCCTGGCTTGGCCTGTTATTATCAATCTCCTGTTTTGCGCAACCTTTGTGACGAGGGCTGATAAATGAAGTTTTCCATTGATCTGGAGAGTGCTTGCATCCCAGTGAAACGGCAAACATATGCCAAAGGAGCAGTGGCATATCAGACCCACTCAGTTTCATAGCGGATGGGGGAATGCCATCAGCTTCCAGAATGGAGGACGGTTGAATGGAATGTATTGCTAAGTGGATAGTGCAGAGAGCAATAGCACTTTAGATGGAGCCTTTGTGTATTAATAGCGTTAGTTTCAAGGTCCATGTAAGTGGAGAAAAATGACGTAAATGTTTCGTACCACCCCAGTCAAAAGGAAAATCAGAACGCTCTGTTGATACGTTAAGCGATCGCTACTGAAAATAAGGGGAGGGGAACGAACAACGCAACAGATGTAGGACGCTTTCCACCCAGAAACCACAGGTGCCAAATCCATTGTCGCCAGCAGAGGCATTAATGGGAAGAAAGTTCCGCATTGTGAATTCCTTGCAACTTCCGAGGCGTACTATGCCGCAAGGAAGGAACAAACAAATGGAGAGGTACTACAATGAGCGACACAGAACTCAAGCACGTCAATTTTCCCCAGGACAACATGTTTGATCAGATACTATAGTGTGGGAAGTCTTCTGTCGGTGATAGGATCGGGTACTTTGATTTGTTCCAGACATGCTAATCAGTTGCGACCAACTAGCATCCCGGCAAGGACTAGTACTCGACCGCTACCGATAGACATTCGGGTGCACCTCGCACAGTAGTTCATAAGAGCTGAAAACGCAACAACGGCGCCAGACTGATCAATTACGGAGATCCGTCAATAAAACATAGCTATATCCAAGAGGGAAGTCGTACGTTAACTTTCGCGGGGAAGATGTTAAGAAAGCAGGCATCCTCCTACTAGCAGCCAGGAACAGTTGACCATGACGCAGGCCGAAACCTTTTGGTCAACCAACGAGAACGGGCAATTGATGATGTTTCACCTTGAACGCTGCTAATGATGATGGTCTACCTTGAGGCTCGCTCAAGAATAAAATGGAAGGCTTCGGTAATACACCGAGGTCTTATATCGAAGGACAGCTAGAAGGCAGCAACCATCGACTGCGTGTGGGCTTAGATACCGCAACGTCGCGCGCATCTACGCAGATTCGAAAACATGACCGGTAGACCTTAAGCCGAACGCCTGAAACATGGGACTATCGATCGCGCGATAAAATGCATGGCAACAGAGAAAACGAGACATGCTGGAAGAATGATTTGTTTTTATGATTAGTCCCCAATTCATGTGAGTCCCATATTTTCATTCAGTAATACGTAGTAACCGTCGTCCGAAAGACGAAAGCGAGTTCCCTTGCGTAGCTTTTTCTCCAAGCGACCAAGAATTTGTTCTTCCGAAAGCTGCAGGACAGCATCAGAATGGCAGAGCTGAATTTAAAGTAAAAACATACGCAAAGGTTTATCACAATGTGCAAATGATGGCGCATGCACCACTAAGAGTAGGTTTGCTCAAGGCCATTTTGAGGAAGTCTGCTGAGTATTCGTACAACGCACTTTCTACAAATCACAATGATGACGAGATCAGTTATAGCACATTGTGCAAATATAATGGGAACGTCAAAATCATAATGACGCAAACGGATACAAAACCTAGGTGCATGAGTGAAAAAATGCACAGTTCAAAGCCTTAACCCAATAGTGTTGCCCGTTCCCCGTTCTCAGTGATCCAAATAGCGTCAGCGGTTGACTGGAAGTTCGCCGATACATACGTAATCTCAAGGATCGTACATAGGAAAGCGAATGGTGAGACGTATGAAGCAGTATACCTATGTAGTTCGTGGTGTCCTGTTAACGCTTCATAGTAGTATGCATATTTGGTGCTGACCGCCAGCGAACACTGCACTCCGCTACGTGTTTCAGTCCTGTTTGATCTTATCAGGCAGAGATAACGGACACGAAAACGCGAATCTGTTGGAATGCTAACAAAAATCTTTACCCCTAAACCACCGATTCACGGCGGGCAATGCTTGTCACAACGGTTAATGACCGTTTAGGGAAACAATTTTGAAGCCTTCATTATGTGAGTGGGTTGGGACGCTCAATCTCAACGGGGATTGCAATTCGTAAGAAAGTGAACGTTAACCAATTCGATCATTGACACTGTAAATGAAGCAGATGTACATTGGGTGTAGCAGGCTAGAAAATAAATGACATCTTTAATGCGAACCGTGGTCCACACTGAGGTTGCGCGCCCCACCCACACAACGAGTGCTTCCAAATGACCTCACGGAAAACAGTGGTACATCAGAACGTCATACAACCATAACTACCAAAGCAATGACGAACAATGAGAGGGGAGAATGTAAATCTGCTGTAGGATTTAAATATATTGGGAAAATATTAGGGAACAGGGCGTTTACAGCTTGCCAGTGACGTGGAAATATGGTCGTATGGATGAGATGGCCTAATCTTGTGACGCGTCACAATTAACAATATTTCACAGATTACTTCGCATCAGACAGTATACATAGGAAAAACACCAGTTGTAATGGCTCTGGGTCTTGCCCCGAAAGGTCTCGATCCAAGTACAAGCTGAGTTGCAAGGACTCCATGTCGGAATATGAGCTGCACCAACAGCATTTAATCTGATGGTCAGTCACTCCTTTTTCAGTGTCAGATCAACAAAAACACATGCATTAAAATTCAAGTAATCTTACAGGATTGAAAAAAACGAAGTATCCCAGGCCCTCAGACCGAAAGGGCTTTATATGGCAATTGTAGAGGAGGACAGCCCTCAATGTCTCGATGTAAACAGGGCAATTAAAAGCAATGGAAACCACAGTCTAGCATCAGAAGTTGCAAGTATACACGAAGGCAGGTTGGACCTTTGCACTAGGTGAGCTAATTTCACCAAACATAAGGCAATCACTGCTAAGGCATCTCAATGATAGCAGACATGAATTATCCATCGCGATGAGACTAGGGTTTGATGTAGTCGATGGTTTGCGTACCTCAGTGACCCATTGAGCTACGCTAGGTGGCGTTTCCTAAATGAATTCAGAGTCACTCATACCAGACAGGTCAATAGTTAGGAGTCAGAGTAACTGAGTCTCACAATTCAATCCCCATCGGAAAGGTGGATCGCCCTCTTGCTTTAAAACCTAGCCATGGGAGACAACAGGTCTATAGGTTATATAAATTCACAGCTCGAATGGTGGAGAGCACGATCGCTACGTTTTGTCTCTGACGGTGGGAGGGCCCCTGCTGGTGCTAAATGGTTTGCTACCAACCGCCTCAAACCAGGCACCACCTGGTCAAATTGGTGCCAACCCGCCAACTTCCACCTATGGCTGGCCGTGGTCGCAGGTGCGTAACAGTACGGTCGTAAAACACAAGTGCATTGTTATTAATCTGCAAAGGCTGTGTGTAACAGGACTCAAGCAGATTATAATGAGTCTCTGTAATCACACTCTCGAGCTAGGCTTGCTCCCACGGTATTATGAGACAGGCTATTGAACCAATTGCTCCGGGTGGAGTCCCTCAGGTAAACCTCCGAATCCCCCACTGCCTTGTGGGTAAGACTGTTGAGTCAAAGGCTAGAGGCGGGGAACCTCTAACAAAATCTCCCCTGGAATGGGCAGCCGAAGAGTATCATTTGCTCTCACGACTTCATCGACAATAATCCCTCTTCTTCTTCCCTTCCTGTTCTCCTATCCCTTCCCCATATATTCAGCAACAGACTGACACTGACATCATACCTGCAGCCATGCATACATGTAGCACTTCCATCAAACCAAGAGTCTCATTTCGCATTAGTTCTTTCGATGTCCGCAGTTTGGGCCAGATCGGTCAACAAGCAGCATTGGCTCTCACTCTTCATTCTCTTGGGATTGATGTATGCTGTCTCCGAAACACGCATACAAGATAACAGCGTTGAGAGGAATCTGCGACTCCCTGATTCTGAATCTGACAACGATCGCTACACCTTTCGCGTCTCTAGCAATACTGAGTCAATGACACAGGGCATTTACGGTGTTGGTATTGCCCTAAGCAAACATGCTGAAGGAAACCTGCTCGACTGGATGCCGCTGAACAGTCGTATGTATGAGGTTTGACTTCGAAACTCCACTGGAGTTAATAAGCAGTGTCTGAAGACAAGTCTCGGTTCGTGCCCCTACCAAATGCAGTTCAGAGGATATCAAATACGATCTTCATCAACAACTCTCATTTCTTCGGATGTCGAATTATATATATATATATATATATATATATATATATATATATATATATATATATATATATATACAACACTACCAATTACATTACAATTGGCTGAGTGCCACAACGTATAAGAAAAATAAGATTGAAGGGGCAACTTTTAGAGTAGAAGAGTCTCACAGAAAGTGCGCCACTGTGTACCGTCTTTGGCCATATCCAGAAGCGTTTGCATCCACAAGTGCTCGGGAGCCTTTGGCCCCCAATCCGGGTGTCGGGAACGCCTAACAACAGCCAACTTCAACGTTTATGCCTTCACGCATTAGATCCAGGTTTTACACTGGCCTCCATGTCATCGCTTCTATCCCATGCCTGCGCTCGCAAATAGCGCACGTAGTGGGAGCCGCTGGGTTGGCATGCGTAGCACATGCCCTAGCCAGCGAAGCCTCCGCAGAGAAATGATGCTGTCTATCGGTCGGCGGAGTTTGTCAGATTTGGAGACTCGCCGACGGACTTCCTAAGTACTGATGTGATGCTACCATCGAACACCAGAAATGCTTCACAGGCAGCGGTGATCGAAGACAGATAGACGCTGAACACCGATTTTACGAACGGACCAAGTCTCACAGCCGTACAGCAGAATCGGTCGTACCTTAATAATGTAGACTCGTTGCTTGAGAGCCAGGCTTAGCTCATGACGAAGCCACAGGAGACGAGGGTCAGCGAAAGCGACTGTAGCCTGGGATACACGCAGGGAGATCTCATCCATCAAACCGCCGATACTAAGACAACTCTCAAGGTAAATGAATTTGTCGACCACTTCCAGCGGATGCCCCGAAAGGGTGAGAGAAGGAGATGTACTTGGCCAGTGTTGTAACAGGGTCTTAGAATTGGAAGGGGCAAAGGTCAACCTCAAAATGTGAGGAGGACATCTCCAGTTTACGCGGCAGATGCCGCGCGGCCTAGAAAGACTCACAAATCACAGCGATGTTATCGGCGTACACCAAGTCCCGAAAGCGGTCACCAGGGAGAAGTTCAACGCCACAGGACTCAGAATTTTCCAGGACAGTCTCCGGGATCTCGTCCATGGCGAAGTTGAACATGAATGGAGGGGCGGGGCAACACCGTTAGGGATACTGAAAAGGGGCGTAGGATACTAACATTTCGGTCGTTGCTGGTGACATGAATGCCCAAATGGTTCATCTTGCAGACTATGTATGAACATGTGCTGCGCATTCGGAGTCAGTGCACTCCGAACAGACAATGGCGATCGATTACTGCGACGGTGCGCGGATCACAGCATTCACCTTAGCAGCACTGCATTCCATCATAAACGCACACACCGCGTCATCAACATCAACAGCAGTACATCAACCATTGGAACTGATGCTTCGCTGCCATACAAACATAACTACCTACGGTTTGAAGAATAATAACATGGAGAGAAAGTGGACTTACAGGAAAACCTAAATCCTCTGAGCAAACATTCAGGGTCAAGGCGCCTACACCTTGTGTAGACAACATACCGTCACAAACAGCTGGCTTTCATGCAAAGATAAGGGGGCATCGGTGAGACAGTTTCCTTGCGGCTTTCACTGCCCCGCATCATAATCAGCCATTAGCTCGCAGATAACTCAGCACCAAACACACTTTAAACAGGCAATCCGACTGGGAGACGGCATCAGATGTGCTACTGGTGTCGACTGCGAGCCATGTCCTGTAATGTTTTGAGCTAAGCACAAGGCGGGTCACGTGAACTCCAGCCTGGAAGGCGAGACGGACCTACGGCACCGAGTTTGGTCTTCAGTGACTTCATTTTACGCTGCCAAGTAAACTTTGTCCATCTCAAGCCCTGTGCCACCCTACAACTGGCAAGCAGAACAAGAGCCTCCTAGGTAAACGGTGATCAGGCATACGAAGTACGTATCCAAGCCAACTCAACTTGTTAAGTGCTATCTGTTGTTCTAACCTTGGTTATCATTGCCTAGTACTCGCCTACGCACATAATCGTTGCGGACACGCTGGTGCCATCCGACCCCAGCAATGCTTCGCAGACAATGATGATCAACGACTTGAAGGCGCCTCAGATCTTCAGATCGAAGAGGGCAAGTCTCACTACCATAGAGCAGGACGGCCTTCACTGTGGTCGTGTATACACGGCCTTTCAGACGGAGGGAAATTCCCTTCTGTCGTCAAAGATGCCGCAGGTTCAA